AAAAAAAAAATCTTATATGATCAGGAAGGTTGTGATGGAACAGTGAGCTTTCAGAAAAGTGAAACTTTTGAAAAAAATACTGTAGTCAAGAAGGCAAACACTTAGCTTGTTTCGTGGCTCTTTGGGGACCCGACGCAGTGTTCGCACGAGCAGGACAAGATGAGGTGTGAAAGATGCTGCCTGGAAAAGGGTTACTTGTAATCTTTGTTTTCGGTTGGGAATTGTATGGTAGGTTTAGCTGCTGGGTGCAGTCCAGATTAACTGAGTCAGAACTGATTCACACTTGGACTTTGCTGCACATGTAATTGTTTTTGGGGCAGTAAACAGCATAAAACCTGAGGAAGCAAACGTGTACAGTGTTTGCAAATACAGAAGAGACGTGCTCTGGGTTCTAGATTGTGCATGCCTACTTGTGCGTTTATAATTGTGTTGTCTGCTTCATGCTTTAGTGTTTACCACTGAAAACACCAATGTACTGGCTGCAAACTAATTGCTTCATAAAGTGTCTGAGTTTTGTTTAATTGCTGAACTCAGGTGGGCAGACACTGAGATCTTGCTCTTCTTATGCTGTGAAGCTGGTTAGTTTAAGAGAGTGTGCCTCCTGACCCAAGGACTGAGCTCTGTTTTTTGTATTTCAGCACTGGTGGGCTGAAGAGTGTGCTTAACACTTCCCCTGCTTCAGTTTTTTAAACATCCTGTGCCCCCCCCAACATACAGGCCCCGGTCACACGGCAAAGTTGCCGCGGGAGAGGCACGGGAGTCCCGCGGATTTTCCAGGCGAGATCTCACCCCAACATCTGGGAAGCGCAGTGCTCCCGTGGCGAACTTGTGGCTCCCCGCCGAAGGTTCGGAGTTAAAAGCTAGTACCTACGAGGTACTAGTTTCCTGAAACCGCGGGCCAATGGCAGGCGTCTGATCGCGTTCCCGGTGGACTTACGTGACATCCGTTGCCCGCCACTGTTCGTCTCCGCAGGTTGCGCAACAGCGCATGTGCACAAAGAGCGATTGCTAGTGCGATCGCACCGCACGGCTTCTGTGCCGCGCTGCAGGATACCCGTCTGATCAGCATTTCCCCCGACCCACGGGACCTCAGTGGTAAACACTAAAGCATGAAGTAGACAACACAATTATAAACGCACAAGTAGGCATGCACAATCTAGAACCCAGAGCACGTCTCTTCTGTATTTGCAAACACTGTACACGTTTGCTTCCTCAGGTTTTATGCTGTTTACTGCCGCAAAAACAATTACATGTGTAGCAAAGTCCAAGTGTGAATCAGTTCTGTTAGTTTCCTCTGGGGCAATTAGCCACGCCCCCCCTCCCCCCCCCGCGATATCCAGCCCGTGTGACTGGGTACATGAATGGGTTTATGGAATTGCAGCTTTGCATAATATGTTCCAGTTAAAGAATTTGAATTTTCTGGTTGCAGAATTCAGGGTGATTAAATTTTCCTGCTTCTGCTACTTGTAATACATTGTTTTGTAGTGGTTAGACTTGGATCTGGGAGACCCAAGTTAAAATCTACACTCTGCCATGGAAGTTTACCAGGAGGTTTTGACCAAGACACTCTCTCAGCTTAACCCAGTTTGCAGGGTTATTTTGAGGATCAAATTAAGGAGACAATGAACTTGTACACTGCTTTGAGTCCCAACTGGGAAGAAGAATGGAGTATAAGTAAATATGATTGTATAACAATATTCTATTTCCACATGTCCAAGTAAGGCAGTGAGATATGACCCAGAGGATAACATGTTTATTTTAAAGGTGAATTCTGTTGCAGCAGGAGTACTCTATTAGTTTGTATTTCAGATTCCACATACCAGTTCCTGGGGTTTCTTATGTACACTCAGTAGTGTGCTGCAGTGAGATCAATGAGGCCTACCTGAGAATAAGCATGCATAAGATTTCCTATTTAATTGCAACAGAAGATGGGAATGCGAAATTTTCTCTTGATGGCACTCAGTTATGTTTGAAATGTTGCAGTCTCTGTGGTTACATAGAGACCAGTTGGAAAACATGATACAGGACACATCTAACAAAGTTATTCAGTTAGCAACCAAAAAATGCATTGCCTTCCTCACTCCCTATTCCCTGTATATGGACCCTGAATGTTTTCCTTGCTTTTCCAGTGCCTGAAGAAAGATTCTGCATTCATGGAAGGAATATGTTCTTGCTCTGCCTCCCAGACAGATGAAATCTGGTGATAGTGAATCAGAAATGATAAAGAACACTTTATACATGGTTAGTACACGTTTCCAGTTATAGGTTGTAGGGCTAGGTCCTGTCATTGAAATCAAGTTCTAGAGTTCAGCAAAGATGAAATGTTTTAAATTAAATCTGAATACTTCTTGTCCCCCAAGTCATTCTATTTGAGGTTTTTGCCCCATAACTCCCATAACATTTAGTATGTGGCAAATCTCTTTGCAGGTTGGATAAGCTTTCATTCTTTGAGTTCTTCAGTTTTATGTCTTTTAAATTTAGATTTTCAGGTCCTTTCTCTGTAGGAGAGTATTCCAAATGCTGGACTACAGCGGGATAGAACAAGAAACAGAAGGTTAAGTAATATTAACATTAGAAGAGCTCTGCTTGATCAGACTGGTGGTCCAACCTGTCTCACACCATGGCCAACCAGTTACTCTTCAGCCTTTCCTCATAGAGGTGCTCTAACCCCCTAATCATCTTGGTTGCCCTCCTCTATACTTTTTCCATTTCTGCAATGTCCTTTTGGAGATACCAACATTGAATTTCATTTCCTACATTGTTGCACACTCACCCATTTTGTGGAGGTCCTCTTGGAGTTCTTCACAATCAGTCTTGTTTTTTAACATCTTGAATCATTTGGAGTAATCTGCAAACTTGGCCACTACACTACTCACCACCAGTTCCAGATCATTTATGAATAAATTAAATGGTACCAGCCCCAATACCGATCCTTGTGGAACCCCACTGCTTGCTTCCGTCCATTGTAAGAACTGTCCATTGATTCCTACTCTTTGCTTCCTGTCATTTAACCAGTTTTTAATTCATAAGAGAACCTGTCCTCTTATCCCATGACTGCTAAGTTTACTCAGGAGTCTTTGGTGAGGTACCTTGTCAAAAGCCTTTTGAAAGTCCAGGTATATAATGTCTACTGGGTCACTGTTGTCTACATACTTGTTCACTTTCTCAAAAAACTCCAAAAGGTTGGTGAGGCAGGATTCCCCTTTGCAGAAGCTATGCTGATTTCCCCTCAGCAGGCTTTGTCCCTCTATGTGCTTAACAATGTTGTCTTTGATTACAGTGTCTACTAATTTGCCTAGGACAGACATTAGGCTGACTAGCCTTAATTTCCTGGTTCCCTTCTGGATCGCTTTTTAAAATTTGGTGTAACATTTGCTACTCTCAGTCTTGTGGTACAGTGGCTGAATTTAGTGATGTTACATATATGGGGTAGTAGATCAACTGTCTCACATCTGAGTTCTTTAAGAACTCTCGGGTATATGCCATCAGTACCTGGAGATTTATCTGTTTTTAATTTCCCCAGTAGGTTTAGAACTTCATCTCTGGTAACCTCAATTTGGCTCTGTTCTTCCAATTCCCTTGCTGAAAATAGGGGCTGTCCCCCCCTTAGTCATCTGTTTTCTAAACTGAAAAGTCCTAGACTCTTCAGCCTTTCCTGATAGCAAGGGTGCCCCAACCCCTTTATCATCCTGCCCTTTTCTGTCATTTTTCCAGCTCTGCAACATCCTTTTAAAAATACAGTGACCAGAACTGCATGCAGAGGAAATGGTGTAGAATTTGAGAATGGGAGGTCTGCTAATTAGTCCTGTCAGTAGTATTATTCTAAACCAGTGTCTTTTCCCCCACCTTTCGTGTTTCTTTTTAAAGGCTGTAGTCCTAAATAATCCCACTGGATTCAATTGTATATATTTCTGAGTAAACACACTTAAGACTTTTTAATTGGAGATTTATTGGCATTGTTCTTTGTTTTAAGTCATTATTATCATTCTAAATTTGAAATTCAGAAGCTTAATATGACACCAGGCTGATTAGACAGTGTCATACTACTTTTTTTAAACAATCCCATTTGTCTGCAGTTTTTTCCTGTAACAAGTTGCACCCTCAAAAGCAAGAACCTTGCACTGGTTTCATACAACCATTGTAGCTTTTTTGGCACCATATTCAATATTATTGATCCACTCTGACTGCCAGTGGCTCTCCAGGATCTTGGGCAGAAGTCTTTCATATCACCTACTACTTGATCCTTCTAACTGGAGATTCCAGGGATGAACCGAGGGCCTTCTGCATGCAAAGCAAATGCTCTGCCACTGAGCTACCATCCCCGTCCCCCATCTAATTCACAGGAGGTTAAAAATAAACGGGTGTGAGCAGGGTAAAAGTCACACAAATTGCAAAAGGGCTGAAGAGACATTTTCCTTTCAAGAGAATCCTGAGGCTGGCTTGTAGCCATGCATGCTTCGATGACTGATTCAGTTTGTTTTTCATCCATATATAAATATCTCTATGCCTGGCTGGGCATGAATCCTGGAATGCCACACCTGTGAGCACTAGTTATTTTTGTGCTTTAAATAGCTAAATTGCCATAGTTTAATTTTCCAAAGGTGTTGCTTTTATAATTCATTTTTGTTGCCTAGACAGATAAGACTGTACTTCCAGCTAACGCTTCTTACCTTCCTTGGATACGTTTCTGATCCAAATCTGGTTCACAGGGTTGTTTGGGTCTCTTATAGCGAACAGGTTTTATTGCAGTTATAAATATTTCGTTGTTATGCTTAGTATATTTACATGATTGTGGTGCATAGAGAACTCCTGAGCGTTTTGGATGGCTGAACATTCTTATGTAATCAAAAAATGTTCTTTAACGTTTTTTTGTATTTTACTCCTTCTGTGGCTCAAATGCTGGTTATGTAATCTATTTTGTTATTGTTATTTGTTGAAGCTTATTAACAAAATAATTTTTTTTAAAAAAAATTGTTGCCTACACAGACAGAAACAGTTTCAGGAGAGAGAAGTAATGGTGGTGGCAGTTCTTTATCATTTCAGTCAGCATCCTGGTTAAAAAACTGTGCAATGGGGGAGTGTTGCAGGGAAAAACCCAGAATTCTTATGGGCAGAACCTTGGAGCACGTAAGAGAGGGAGGTAGTGTGAGTCATTCATGCTGGCACGTCCTGAAGAAGAATGGTGCCCGTAGGGGAAGGAGGCTTGAACACCCAAGGCAAGCAAAAACAAGACGCTCGCTCACATGCAGCCCTTAGAATTACAGACTTCCAAGTAAACATACATAGGATTAGGTTTATGCTAACTAAACTATTGTTCTCTTCTGGTAAGAACTGAATTTGAGCACTGGGGCCGGGTGGAAGCATGTATAAAATCACACAAAGATGTGTACTTGCTTCCCAGTGCTCCTTTGCCTCGTAACCATTAGGGAGGTTTCTATTTTTTTAAAAAAAAGATACCTTCCACTTTGACCAGTTTAAGATTTCTTTTTTTACAGCAGCAGTACACACTCATTCACACTGAATGCCTAGCAAAAGAAACATGTCCTCAGGGTGAAAGTATAGCAAGCCAGTGTGATCTAGTGGACAGAATGGTAGTAAACTTGGACTGTAGCAAGTTGGGTTCAAATCCTCACTCAGTCTTGAAACTCACAGGTTAGGCTTTTGTCAGTCATCACCTCTGCCTAATGTCGGTCAAACAGTTATAATAAGGATGGGGGAGGGGAACCTGATACACAGCTCTGGATGTAATGTGATAAAGAAAATAAGTCAACACATTCTTCCATGAAAGCCAGAGAAGAAGATGCTGGTGGGAGAACAATGATCCAAATGAGTTTTCCTTTGGGAAGAGGAGTAATAAGAAACAACTGAGAAAATAATGGCCAAGCCTACCTGCTGTAAACAAAAAAATTAAAACTGGTTTTTTAAAAAGCTGAGAAGAGGGAAAGGCCGAAGCATGAGGACAGTGATCCATGAGGAGAGGATGTTCTGCGCCAACATGGCAGTCAGAAAATAGTGAGAGAGGGCATTGCCCCTCTGCTAGGAGCCCATTCAGAGAAGCAAAACTGTCCCGTGACAGGGGAGGAGGATTTGAGCATTAGCTCCTGGGCTAGACCTCGAGAAAGAGCTGCCTCTGCACAGGCAGAAGCGACATGTCAGGCTATGCAGCGACCACAAAGAACACAGAGGTTTCCCAAAGCTGACAAGTGCTTCCTAAAAGGATTTTTAAAAAAGACCTGCTGCTTTCTTTTACAATCAGTAATATTTGCATCTGTTCATTATTTATAGTGTAGGAAAGAAAAGCAAAAATTGGCTCAGAGCTGCAACCACTTTAGGCAATGTGCAGAATCCTAAGGGCTGTACTACGCCAGCCCTTATACAATGAAGCAGGCTGAGGACTCTTCTGCCTTATTGCAGGCTTCTATAAAGACTTTCCATTTTGCACCATGCAACAGTTCCTCCAAGAACCGAAACATAAGTTTCCTTGGGGGTACCATTCTGAGGCACTGGCAGCCTTTGGGTCATGAGCCACAGAATAAGCATTTAAATCTTGGCTATGGGAGCCATAATAAAATTCAGAGTTATCCAAAATTCAACCATTTCGGTAAATACTAATGGTTAAAGCAAATGGCACTGAATGTTATGAAACCCATTTCTGACAGCAAGAGAGTTTCTGATTTTGAATCCTGCATTTGTCAATGTTTAGCAAACATTTGCTTGGTGGTCTTCCCCGTCTAATTTTCAGTTCTAGACTCAATGATAAAATGTATGCTTACTGAGAAAGAAACACTGTAAAATACAGTTTCCATTTATGTAAGTATCCCTGTTGTCCATCATGGGAGGAGCATTCCAGAACTGAAAGCAAAGACTCTCTTCCCCGTACACCTGCTCCAGCATCCTTAATTGTCAAATAAGTCCCTCAAACATAATTACAAATTTTACAAGAGTTCACCAGAACAGGAGACTCCAATTGGAGGTGAGCACTAATTGTAAGGCATGTTCAGGTTAGAGGTAGGCTTTGGGCTTTCCACAGATTTTGACACAATTAGTGTCTTATTTCCTCCTCTTCCAAAGAAATACAGTCTTTTATACTTCCATTTATCTTGCCCGGAATTTTTCTTTTATCAGGGCAATGAAGGAAGACTTAACTTTTACCACAACCCTGATTTGTCTGGCTTCCCAAACTGAATGATACTTTGTGGATCTTCATGTGTTTGGATAAGTGGTCACTGCGGGCAAATTTCTTCTCACAAACTTGGCACTGATAAGGCTTGAGTCCAGAATGGGAACGCTTGTGGCGAGAGAGTTCATCCGAACGAGAGAACCTGCAGAGAGAGAGATGTTTACCAAGGAGCCTGTTTTTATGTTTGATGTCATCACAGACAAACCACAGTATGCAGAAAATAATTCTGGGATGTAGGATAAATTACCTAAACCATGGTGCTCTAGTCTGATTCTTAAGTGCAGGGTTTTTCCATTTCCAAAATTATATTTCTTCTCTCTCACACTTTCAAACCACATACCACAGAAAAACAGCTGTAAACATGAGTGTCTGCATTGTGGGAATTGGGAAATACCACCCCAAGGGCCAGTTCACACCATTTGTAAGCTCTGCAGGCGGTGGAACATGTGAAGAAATCTCAAGCTCTTATGGGCACACACACATGTCAAAAGTCATTTATGAATCAAAGCATCTACATATAGGGATGTGTCGACCTATCCATCAAAATAATTCAAAGATCTTAACAAATATTACCAAAGTAATAATACTGTTGTGAAATACTCTATTTTTAGAGAAGGAGAACACAGATGCAGCACTTGTCCAACATTAACATAACTAATCAGGAATAGACTGAACATGATCTCACTGTCAAAGTAGTTGTAGCAGAAACAACCCCCAACCAAATATTTTATTTTCTGAACCAAACAGGCCTGTTGAGCTCAACTGAAATCTTCAAGTGGGACAATATAACGGAATTATTTTCTCCCTTGACAATCTTATAATGAGCTATACGCTGACCGGCACCTTTGCAACTTCAGACCATGAAAAATAGTTCATGATTAAGACCCTATTGTATAGATCAAGACAGGTAGCCATGTTAGTCTGTCTGAAGCAGTAGAGAAGAGCAAGAGTCTAGTTGCACCTTAAAAACTAACATGAGCAGTGCCTTATGAAAGCTCACACCCTGCCACACATTTTGTTAGTCTTTAAGGTGCTAGTGGGCTCTTGTTCTTTTCTACTACCATAGGGTATATTATACATTTATGTAATATTTATTTCATTTATTTAAAACTTTTATTAGGTGCCTTTCTACTTCATGGAAGACAAGGAACATTACTGTAGATAAAATGCACAAAATAGAATATATAGGATACCAAAATTTAAAGTCACCATTTAGGACTGCCAGTAAACTAATCAAATGTGGGCCTAAAAGCACTGTCTTCAACTGCTTCCTAAAGATCAAAAATCAGGGGGCCAGGCACACCTCCTTGGGGAGGTTGTTCCATAATCATAGGGCTGCCACTGCAAAGTCACTTCTTTGGTTGATGGAACAATCTGGAGGGCCTCTCCCTGTGATCTTAGTATCCAGGCAGGAATATAGAGAACATACTGCATGTACATGTGGTGGGTGACAGCTGAGACACACAGCTAATTGCAGTTCCTCAGTGTGTATTCATATGTTGAAACATGAAGTATCTGCTTCCAAAATGACAGTATGCATTTGTGTACTTGTAATATATGTTCTTAATCTAAATCATGACAGCTTGATGACTGCACAGAATTTGCGGTGTGCAGGAGAGAGACTGTGGAGCTGCGGTGGCTCAAGTGGTTAAGACGCTGAACTGCAGGCTGTGGAAGGTCAGTAGTTCAGCAGTTCGAGACCCAGGTGCCGCATGATGGAGTGAGCTCCAGTCAAAAGTTCCAGCTCCTGCCAACCTAGCAGTTCGAAAGCAAGAAATTGCAGGTAGATAAATAGGTACCACTTCGGTGGGACGGTAACAGCGTTCCGTGCGCCTTGGTGTTTAGTCATGCCGGCCACATGACCACGGAAACATCTTCAGACAGAGCTGGCTCTTCGGCTTTGAAACGGAGATGAGCACCGCAACCCTAGAGTCGGATTCGACTGACTTTCGAGCAAGGGAACCTTTACCTTTAGGAGAGAGACTGCTAGCTTTATGTGCAGGTCTTAAAATTCCCTCAGTTTTTGTAAGCAAAAATACCCTTTTCTTTGCCCTTTCATCAGTGATCTGTACCTGGTGGCAGATCGGGATCTTCTAATGTAACATCTAGTTTGGCCATAAGCTTTCAAACTGAACAATGGAATCTTGGTAACTGAGATATATGATAGAAGAGCTTATTGACTATGTACAAGAAGAATGCATTGTCAAAAGCTTGCTGTGTTCACTGCTTATGACACCACACAGCATGGTGTATGACTCCATAGAGAGCCAGCACGGTATAGTGATTAAGAGCGATGGACCCTGATTCGGAGAACTGAGTTTGATTCCCCACTCCTCCACATAAAGCCAGCTGGGTGACCTTGGGTCAGCCACAGCTCTTTCAGAGCTCTCTCAGCCCCAAAATGTCTACTTTGTCACTAAAAGAGCTAGAACTTAAGGCTGCCAGACAATCTTAGGATTTCTTGGCTATACTACACACAATGCCATATGATAATTACTATTACACCACACCGCCCATGGGATTTCCAGCTCCTATCTAATATAACAGAGGGATCTACTTTTAAGAGAACACTGCAGAGATCAGATTTCTAAGATATTTTCCAGATCTTCAAAGAAAAAGTACTGACTAACTTTCTGCAGAAGTACATTCCACGATCTCAAATCATCATTGCAAAAGATGCTGGAAGGAAGCAGATCAGCCAAGGACACTCTAGAGCATGACTTTTGACCTCTTGCTGTTGTTCACCTACAGGCTAAGAGGGAAGGGGCTGCAAAGCAGCATATGGTCCAGGAGAGAACTGGGCAGTTTCTTGCTGCATTTGTTCATCACAATTCACCAAATTTTCCAGCTTTTGAAATTCTAGTAGCACTCTCCTTCCACTCACAGGTAAGAAAAAGAGGAGCCATTTGTTTCCTCTCTGTTGTCACAAGAAGAAACCTGCTGGATCAGCACAATGGTCCATCTAGGCCACCCATATGGCTCTGGGAAGCCCACAGGCAGGGCATCATGGCTAACAGCCACTTACAGATTGATCCTCCATGCATTTGTCTACTCTCTTAGGGAAACTGTCTGAGCCATCACTGCATCTTGTAGCAATGATTGCTTTAGTTAATTTTGTGCTGTGTGAAGAACAATTTCTATTTGTCCCATGTTTACAGTCCATCAATTTCCTTTGATGAATGAGTACTTCATAGGATGTCCTATGCTTTGTGGATGTTGATATTGTAACATGAACTGAAAACTTTCAATGAATTGCAGGATCAAAAAAAATTCTTTATTTCTTTGGGGGTGCGTTTCCCTTTCCCCACAACAAACTGATTGTGGAAGGAAAACAGAGATTAGAAAAAGCTTCCTCCAAGCCAAATTCCAAACCCAACTCCCCCCCCCCCTGCCCCGTCAGAGTCCTCCCATCACTGGGGATAAGGAACTGTGGTTGAGAAACAATGCGTCAAACAGGTCACCCTCTCTTGAACCAATTTCTCATCACCTTCCTCGTGGTATTTTCAGCCTCACTCTGTCCCTTGATGGTTGCTCTCCTGTCCCACCCAGCGGAGCCTATTATCTGTGAACTGCCCTGCACTGGGTTCTCAGTGAAGTGACAGTAGCATGCATGTGCAACCCTCATCAGTAATTTTTTGGGAGAATGTGCTTTAAAGCCTAGTATGGCCTGGGACCAACATACCTTAAGGACCGCCTTCTCCCATACGAACCTACGCCTTCCAGTCATCCCCAGAGACCCCATTTCCATTGCCGCCACCACCTGAGGCTAGACAGGCGGCAACCCAAGAAAGGGCCTTCTCCACTGTGGCACCAAAACTTTGGAGCTCCCTCCCCAGGGAGATTTGCCTGTCTCCCTCTATCGGTGTCTTTCACGAGCAGGTGAAGTCTTTTTTTGTTTCGTCTGGCATTCCCCCAATAATTGTTTTTGGCCCTCCTAGTGTTTTTTATGTGTTTTAAACTGGACTGTATATTTTAACTGTACTTTTATTTTTTAAATAGTTTAATGTTCACCAACTTGTGAATCCTGATTGGGTGGAAAGGTGGCATAAAAATGTTTTTAAAAAATAAATAGTAAATATAAATATAATAAATAAATTAGAAATTGCCTCTACATAACAGGCAAAATGGCCATGCATTAGAGCCTGTTGGTCAATGATGCTTGTTATATACTTGTACACACATGGACAATTAATTTGTTCAGAGGTAAATGATGTGAGAGTCCTGTGTTTTACACTGGGGAGAGTGAAAGCAGCGTGGATTTAGAAAAGTATTTCAAAAAGGACAATAAGTTTAGAAATAGGTCCCACTTCAAAAAGTTTGAGAACCATTACTTTAGGTGAGTAAAGCCTTGATCGATTCTCTAATCCTCTGGCAAGGATGTTCAGTCACATTTGGGAGAAAGGTTTCATTGTGGTATGTATGCAAATGGAAAGTTTCTGAAATTTATTTCTTTGCTTCCATGATGTTGGCTACCATGATGTTGGTCTTTATCAGTTAAAGCTTTCCCCATTATTGCTAAGAAAACTGTTAACTGTGTGATCTCATGCTATGATTAAAATCACAGAAAGCCTAAAAAAAAAAAGATTCAGTCAATCTCCAACCAGAGATGAAAAAATTATTTTGATTGCCAGTTAAATGACATTAACCAAGTAATTAATTCCTGATTAAATATGTGTATTTTAAAAACTGGAGCCGTCTCTTGCAAAAGAGTAAAAATGATAAATTAAAAACACTGGAGATGGTCACCCATCTGTGCCCAGTTGGTGTACATATTTGATTCAATAAATTAAAAATTAGATTTCAAACATTATGTGATTTGCCTACATTACAGTATTGAACATTTCAAAAACTTCCTTGAGGAACAAGATACGTTAAAAACAAAATGCTAAAAATAATCAAATTGCTGGATATCTTTAGGAACAAGGCTGTTTTCATTCTTTTTTTTACAGTGCAATTAAAAAAAAATACTTTCCATTTTCACACACTTACCTCCAGCCACAGTCCGGCCATGTACAGATGTATGGCTTTTCTCCAGTATGGCGTCGGAAGTGAGCCTTCAGATGAGAACTTTTGGTGTACATCTTGGTACAGCCAGGATGTGTGCACTTGTGGACTCGGATGACTGAAGAGGAGGCTTTGGGGACCTTGGCTTCCACGTTCCTTGTGCTTCCAATGACTCCTGGCCTCAATGTCACAGGCAAAGGAGCTATTCGTACATACTTCTGGTCTGTGCTTATCATAGGGCTCTGGATGACCTGAGGAAGAATGGTCACACTCTGGCCTTGCATTTTGATGACCAGTTGGGCCACTTTGATACTTCCAGTAAGGCCCTGAGTTGATGAACTACCTTCACTTGCTTGAATGGGCTGGATCTGAAGAACAGGAACATTTCCCATTGTTTCAGGGATGCTTGTACCTGCAGCAGCCACTCCAGATGAAACACGGCTTGAAAGGTCTTCATTTAGAGCAGTTCTAGAAATACACTGATTCCCAGGGCTGCTCAAATTGATCTCAGATTTTATCTCAAGCTGCCCTCCTACTGATTGCTTGCTGTTTGGCTCATCCTTAAGAAATGCTGTCTTCTCATTCAGGAACTCCTCAATCTCCTCCAGGGTAGGGATGAAATCCCTAGAGAGTTCTGTACAAAAATCAGGTAGCTTGAGATGGGCTTCATAGATGGTGCTCTGGGGTTTCTCTACTTCCTTCTTTATCTTAGGCAGTGAGACATCTATCTCCAAAGAGCTGGGAAGGTTGGAGAGAATTGCTGGATTTGATACTTGTTTTCCATCGCAACCCTCCAGTAGGTTTAATGGTGGCATATCAGGCTTAAGTGCATCTGCAGTGCTATCTAGTTGAAAAGGTGCTGACGTAGTCAACAGACCTGAAGCAGATACCAGTTTGCTATCATTTACTGAGACCATTAGTTGGTCTTCTTCCACAGAAACAGGCTTATCAGTGGCTGAAAATCACAAAGTCTAGTAAGCTACAGATCCACCTGCAAGAAAACAACCACAATGAAGTTTTTTGACGTAAGAAAAACCAACAGCATATGGAACAAAGAACAACTAAAGAGGGTCTCTGTTCTAACAGAAGATGAATCAAGAACAGGAGGATAGTAAAAAGCCCAGTAGCACCTTTAAGACTAACAAACTTTGTTGTAGCATAAGCTTTTGAGAAACACAGATGACGAAGAGAGCTGTGTTTCTCGAAAGCTTATGCTACAATAAAGTTTGTTAGTCTTAAAGGTGCTACTGGACTTTTTACTATTTTGCAGCAACAGATGAATACAGCTAAGTCCTCTGAACCAAGAACAGGAGGGTTATTAAGCCAAATCTAGCATTCAAATGGGAAAATGACGCTGGCCAGTGTGGTGTAGTGATAAAAGTGATAAATGTTCAAATCCCTACTCTGCCATGGACGCTTGCTGGGTGACCTTTAGCCTGTCATACACTCTCAGCCTAACCTAACTCACACCCAGCTGAATTATTTAGAATGATTTGATTCATTATTGCTCTGCCACAAGGCAGACCAAACGTCAGGGAATTGGATATTGGGTGTGAGGCTTTTACGAGCTACTTTGCAGATAAAGTCTTGTCGCTCCGCCATGATCTCCCCGCTACAGTTGATACAGTGAGCAAACTCAAGGCTCCATGCACATCTTCTAGTCAGGTTATGGATCATTTCAGTCTGCTCAGCCTAGAGGAAGTCAACAAATTGCTCCTAAGTGTACACCCTACTACTTGTTCCCTTGATCCATGTCCTTTGTGGCTAATTAAAGCTGGCCACAAGGGGTTTTGAGGTGCCCTACGGGAGACTGTTCCCTGAGGCATTTAAGGAAGCAGTGGTCCACCCTCTCCTGAAAAGCCATCCTTGGACCCGGCCGAATTGGCAAACTATTTGGGCAAGATAATAGAGGGGGCAGTGGCAATTCAGTTACACAGCTTTTTGGATGACGCTTCCATTTTACACCCCTTCCAGTCCGGTTTTCACCCGGGCCATGGGACGGAGATGGCACTGGTTGCCCTCATGTACGACCTCTAGAGGCATCTGGATCAGGGCAGATCAACAGCGCTGTTGTTGTTGGACCTGTCAGCTGCATTCAACACGGTCGACCATCAGCTACTGATCCACCACCTCACCAACACTGGAGTCCAGGGGCTGGCCTTGCAATGGTTTGCCTCCTTTCTCCAAGGTCAGGGACAAAGGGTGGCTCTGGGGGAACAGCTATCCTGAAAGCACCCACTAGGTTGTGGAGTGCCTCAAGGGGCAGTGCTGTCCCCGATGCTTTTTAATATCTATATGCACCCCCTTGCACAGATTACCTGGAAGCATGGGCTGGGATGTCACCAGTATGTGAATGACACCTACATCTATCTGCGGTAGGAGGCCAGTCTGGACCGGGCGTTACAAGCTGTGGCTGGTTGGCTTAGGCTGAGCCAATTGAAATTGAATCTGACGAAGACGGAGGTCCTGTGCTTGAGCCGGGCCGCCCGAGGGTAGGGATCCCGCTCCCAACCTTCGATGGGGCACTACTGGTGCCAGTGCCGAAGGTTAGGAGTCTGGGAGTGCTCCTAGATGCCTCTTTAACAATGGAGGCTCAGGTAGCAGCCACTGCCAACAATTAACAGCTAACAGCTGAAGGATAGAGAGCCCTGCCCCCCTGGAATTTTCCAACAACAGCCTGAGCCAGCCACCTATAGGACAACTAAAGGAAGGTCTAGGAGCCGACTGTGAGACGGGAGTATCAAACAATGGCTACCATAGCTAAACTAACAATAGTGACTACCAGCACTTTATTATGTCGGATGGTTTAGATGGTTTTAGAATTGTTTTAACTGTAATTTAGGTTTTAATGTAATTTATGTGTTTATTCCTATGTAAACCCCCCTGAGCCGGCTTTGGCTGGGAGGGTGAGGTAGAAATTTGATAAATAAATCAATACCTCACAGGGTTTGTTGTGAGAATAAAATGGAGGAGAGGAGAACAACGTAAGATGCTTTGGGGTCCATATTGGGGAAATAAAACAAATAAATGAAATCTCCCCCCCCCAAGCTTCTGTTAGAGCCCAAAGGGGAAAAGGAAGGTAAAAAGAAGAACCTAATAGGATAATTTCAGTTTTGTGAAATTGGTTTCTTTTAGGAAATGTCATGGGGGAAGCAATTAAACCCAGCCTCTCCCCAGCTCACCACATCTAAATTTCCCCCCCTATTCCATCCCAGTGGATGCTATTTTCAGGTAGTGGATCACCCACATAATGCACAGTTTGTCCCTCATTCCACCTGTGATAGTTACTGCCCGTATCCCCAGTTTAGTAGGTAATCTGGAGAGCAGGAAGTCTCCTGGGGAAAGGACCTCACCTACAGCAGGAAGCCAGCCAGCAGGCTGCACAGCCCACAGGCATCTAGAATTGTTCCTTGTCAGCCATGTGTGGACCAAGAACTAATTAGTTTTAAGAATACCGTTCTGTAATTTTGGTAATCCGTTTTCTTTTAGATGTTTATATGTCACCTGTCAAACCAGTACAAGGTCCCCAACGTTGCAAACATTTCAAACTTAAAACATTAAAACATTAAATACAGCATTTAAAATACACACACACATATATGTATGTGTATATATGTGTGTATATGTATGTGTGTATATGTGTGTATATATGTGTTTATATGTATATGTGTGTGTGTATTTGTGTGTGTGTCATTTTCTTTTAGATGTTTATATGTCACCTTTCAAACCAGTACAAGGTCCCCAACATTGCAAACATTGCAAACTTAAAACATGAAAACATTAAATACAGCATTTAAAATACACACACACACACATATGTATGTGTATATATCTGTGTATATGTATGTATGTATATGTGTGTATGTATATGTGTATATGTATATTTGTGTGTGTGTGTGTGTACACATAAGCATATATAACACACAAACATGGAAGAGGGCTAATAAGAGTTAGTGAAGGAATGTGGAACAAAACAAAATAAAAGACTTCACTGGCTGGCAGAAGCAGACTATAAATGATGTAAATAAATACATATAATGGAAACTTGGAGCATCCATTGCTCCTGTCTGTTACAGAAATGTGCTGATACTGGTGCAGAAATAAAATTTTGGACAGACTTGAAATCCATTAAAATTTTAGCATGTGACAGCTTGGAATTCAAGCTTCGCTTTTACAACGTGGCTTTCATTTCTAACTGATATAGCACACCAGATACATTAACAGTGTAGTCTTATGCAGAATTACTGAAAGCACAACTAGGGATTCAAATGTTTGTTGTCGAAGGCTTTCACAGCCGGACTTCATTAGTTGTTGTAGATTTTCCAGGATGTGTGGCCGTGGTCTTGGCATTGTAGTACCTGACATTTTGCCAGCAGCTGTGACTGGCATCCTCAGAGGTATAACACAGAAAGATGGAGAGACCACGGCCATGCAGCCTGAAAAATCTACAACAACTAATTCAAATGTTTATTTTTGATAATACACCCAGACCATAAATGAACAGTGTTTAAGTTATTTCATGACCTGCCCATGAGAAAATACAGGGCAAATGCCTGACATTTTGGAATGCACATTGTAACAACATTCACAACACTGGGACTGAATCTCTTGCTTCAATAGCTGCTTGGAGAATACATAAAGCAAGATATGAGATTGTGCTGAGCAGGTCTCATGCTTCTTTCTCCTCCCTTTTGTCAGCAGCTGCTGACATAAAGGCCAGAACATGTTAATGTCAGAGAATTCGACATTCCTTTTGGTTTTCAGATAAGTCTGTAGAAATCAACTTCAATTGTTTCTAGTTTTCATTACTAAAATAGTTTTGAGTTATATTCCTCTACCCCCTACCCATTTGTGTTTCTTAAGACTCGAAACTTTTCCAGATTTATATAATGGATTTTTTTTCTTTTCTCTTTTTTTTAAAAATAGATGTTATTAATGGACTACAGAAGAAAGAAAGAGACAGTGACTACAGATACAAAGAAACTAACACACAACAAACATGGAGCATGTACTCATTATGACTACTTAAATTTTACATAGGTGGAATCATTTATTTTATGCACCTAGACCACTTTAACCATTTAAAGTGTAGAGCTTATAACTTAATAATTATGTTGTACATTTTTTAAGATATTCCTCAATCCATCTATAAAATCTTGACCAGGTCTTCTCAAAACATGGGATGAAAAGCAAAATTAAAATAGAACAAGCTCTAGGTACACCTATACCATGGGTTTTTTATTTACAATTAAGCCACTGCATTCAATCTCTAAAGATACCGGATATGATGGCACGACCACTAACAGATCTAGAACGCATAATTCGAGATTCAGATGAACTGTACAAAGGACTCATATCAAAGATGTACACAATACTGCTCCAAAAACCCTCCAAAGCTCCAATGGCTTATCAATATGCATGGCAGAAAGATTGCACTACGACACTAGATGAGGAAACTTGGTCTAAATTCTGGAATTCTACTAGCTTTTCAACTAGCTCTATTGCAATACGTTTTCAAAATCTGAAAATAATGTCTAGATGGTACGCAACACCCCAGAAAATTTCACATATATCATCATCATTATCCCCAAACTGTTGGAAAGGCTGCCAACAAATTGGAGATTTTGCTCACTGTTGGTGGGAATGTGGAAAGATCAAAACATTCTGGCAGGAAGTTATTAAAATAATTAAAGAAGTTACTTCAATACAAGTTCCATTCACACCGGAAACACTGTTTTTAAATACCTGGCCATCAGAATTAATGAAGAGACCACATAAAGCAACTATCGAAATAATGCTAGACGCTGCCAAGACCACAATTGCTACTCTTTGGAAAGATATTAAAACTCCAACAACAGAAAATTGGTTCCGAAAATTATGGAATCACTATTTAATGGATTCTGTTTCAAGCAAACTACTTCTCAAAGCCCAAAACATCAAAGGTTTGTTGAAAAGTGGTACCCAATTTTAGATTATCTATCTCAACAACAA